GAACAATCCTTTTCCAGCTCAGGCACACACAGAACAATCCTTTTCCAGCCCCAGAACCAAGGGCACCGCTGCAGCTTCAGCCCCAAAAAGTGCATACAGGGAATGGAGAACAGCAACCTGGGAGGGTGGGACTGCACAACCTGGAACTGGAATTGGACAATAAACCCCAATATGGAAACGGACCAAAACTTATAAAAGTGTGAAAACTCAGGACTTGGGTCCATCATGGGTCCAACCTGGGCAGAGCCACAGCTTTTTAATAAATCCCCACATTATTCTTCAACTCTGCCTAGCCCCTGTTCCAGGCAGCCTCTCCAGGCCCCACTTTGAGGTCCCTTCATGCCCAAACCATTCCATGACTCTGAACCACACCCTGGGCTTGGGGCCTCTTCACCCCACACCCAAGATTTCCACTTGCCCAAATCTTCCAACCCAACTTCAATGAGAACCTTCCAGGGAACAGAACAGAGAGACAAAACCCACAGCAAAATGGGAGAATTCCTCTGCTGTACTCTGTAAGTGCCTGTGTTAATTTATCTTCCTTTTTATCTTCCTCACACATGTTTATGTGGCACAAACAGCTCCTGGAAGAGGTACAAAATTTAGGAGAAGAGAGCCTCCTACCTCAATCAAAGAAATCTATTCCATGACAAAGGAAAAAAAGATGAAAGATATTTGTACTAGCAATAAAAGAACACCAGTGCTAAGATTTCCTTTTTTTTTTTTTTTTTAACTGTGAAGGACAAAACAGAAATCATATAAAAGACAAAAATAAACAGAATTAATAGGAACTCAAAGCAAGGACAAGCTGCAGGTCCCTGATGGTGTAACAAATTACAAAGCAGGTAGAAACTAATGTCAAGAACTATTTATTCATCTCTATAATGGGAACAACTTCAGGCAAGGACAATAATCACAAAGCAGGAAAGTGTTCATTAATTAAATGGAAACAAATCAGAATTGCTCAGGCACAGCTTGCCAAGGATCCTTTTGGCAGGCAGAGATATGCAATGTTCCTCCTTGTGCTCAGAACCTTTTGCATGACAAGAGGTTGAGGGAAGTTTATCAAGGCTCCTGCCTGCACAGGTAGCAACATTTGGTTTGCTGCTTTGCAAGCCCATCAAAAATGGAAATATTGATGATCTATATGTATGAAGGGCTTAAAAAAACCTCAGCAGTGAATCACAGGCCGTGGTGAAACCCTTGACTTGTGGCCAGGACTAGTGACTACCAAAGCAGGTTCTCTGTGCTTGCTCATCCCCTGTGATCCATCAGTTCCCACTCACAGCACCAGATCCCACATTGGATATTTGGGAACCTCCTCACCCCTGTACCAGCACCATGGGTAGCACATAAATTTTTATTATTATTATTATTATTATTATTATTATTATTATTATTATTATTATTGTTGTTGTTGTTGTTGTTGTTATTATTGTTATTATTATTGTTATTATTATTGTTGTTATTATTGTTATTATTATTATTATTACTCACAAGGCTTTCCTCCATTGGTCTGTCCATGCAGACAGGTCCTGATCTCCTCATCTGCTCTCAGATCCAGTCCTTCAGTGACCTGGAGACACACAATCCTATTTTTGGAGCAAAGACAACTATCAGGCAAGAAAAAGAGGAATTTCTGGAGATAAGCAGTGCCCCAGCTGGGGGCTTGGTCCATCAGTTTGAATCCCACTGCATGAAGTCTATAAAGTTTGGGGATTTTTAGATCTGACCCTTTGTGGGTGTTTTCATCAGGGCTCAATCAACTGAAGCTCCTGAAATCCCAGGGCAATTTGCATATAGAGACACAATTTATTTGCAGGGTTCCAGCGTGTCACAAATTAGGAGGGCTGAATTATGAACTCCTGAACGTCCTGATGTACAGAGGAAACCGCAGTGAATCCCTAATGACAGCCCCATAAAGATGATGTGATAAATACAACATTAAAAATGCAATAGAGGCATGAATCTCCTATAATTTAAGGATCTGCTATTAAACACAACAGGGCTGCATTTTTTCTTGCTTCTTTTTTTTTTTTTTTCCTCACCACTGCATCAGCACAGAATGGTTTGGCTTGGTGGGACCTTCCAACACATGAAATCTTTCCAAATTTTAGGAGATTATTTTTTGCCTTCCTTCCTCTTTTTAACATAAACGGAAACTACACTTTCTCTTCTCCTCTTTGTAAATACATAAAGCAAAAAAACAAACAAACAAAAACACCCTAACAATCTGGGAAAACCACATCAGCTACTCCACTCACCAAAATCTCTAATAAAGAAATAAACCACTCTCCACATTAAATACAGCTTCCCTTTTTACACCACCTTTTTCCAAGTGGATGCCTCTCTGTTTCTTTGTTGCACCATGAGCTTCACACAGCTCAATATCAACTCCACAACCAAGAAAAAAAATAGGTGGGAACACTAAGATTTCCATAATTCTCCTCTTTATTCCGTGAAGTCACTGTAGGAGTTTTACAGGGAGGGAAAAAGTAATTTCTGGAAAGTGAAATGAATGCAATATTCATGGGGTGATCTGACAGACCATGTTTGAAGAAGCATAAAATTATCTGCCTATGAAGGTCAATTAGTTTTGACATTAATTTTGGTAGCAGAAGTTAAACCTTTTTTCCCTATATCAGTGACAATATATATATATATACACACAGCACATTCTAGAAAAAAAAAAAATACAGGAACATTTGCAAATTGCAAAACACTTTCATTATTATTTCAATTTACAAGGGAACTGGAACATCACTAAATACTTTGATATTATTTCAGTTTCAGGCAATTGCTGGCACATTCCTGGTGGGGATGGGGCCTTGTTTTGCAGGAGTCAGACCAAGGGCCATTTAGGAAAAGTGCTTAAGAAACTGATGGAAATTAGAAGTTCTTTGGAACCAAGCACTGAAGACCATAATGAAATCTTATTTCAAATTAATTACACTTTTTAATCAAAATGGTGAGGATGGTGCCAATCTAAACACAACGAATTACAACAAAATCTGATGTAAAAAAGAAGTAGCTTAAAGACTTTTATAATTTATCATTCTGCACGAGAAATTTCATTTTCTACTTTAAAAAACATGACCTGCCAAATGAATCCAGCAATAACTGGAAACAGACCAACTTCCACAAATGAATGTTTTATATTTTCAAGTATACTTCAGTTAATTACAAAATTAATTAGCCTTGAAAATCCTGGAGAGTCTATATTTCATCACCCCCACCCCAGGCATGTGGGGGGACATTTTTAAACAAATAAAATTCTCTGGTTTGAAAAAAATCTGCAGAAAACAGTGTGAGTTTTGAGGGGTTTTTGTGGTGTTTTATTTTGGGTTTTTTGGGTTTTATTGGTTTTTTTTCTTTGGGTTTTTTTGTTTGTTTGTTTGTTTTTTTGTTGTTGTTTGTTTTAGTTTGGGGTTTTTTTTGGTTTTTTTTTGGTTTTTTTTTTTTAGGGAAAAAGACTATAATCTTTGTAAAATCCAAAACTGCAGTTTGAGGCTCTAGGAAGAGCCAGCTCCCCCAGAAAATATGGGAACACACATGACAACAACACTACCAGCACACAGCTCCTCTCTCTTCACCTTAAAGGCCTTTTAGGATCTTTTCCCCAGAAATTTCCATCAATTTCTGACCAGAATTCCCAAAAGGAGAACACTGCAGTCCAAATTGAGCATTGCTGCTGATGCTTTCCTAAAGAGTCTCCACTGAAAAGGGGCATCCCTGGCAATCAGTCAGCACTGGGAGATTTTCTGGATTTTATCCCAACACTGTTCTGCCCAAAGCTCCATTTCCATCCCCATTTTCCATCACAGGATCCTCCCCCGGTTCTGGAAAATAAATCTACTCCATCCATTCCTCATATACAGAATGCCGGGAGGTGAGAAAAAGGCAGGAATGGCTTGGAGAAATTTATTAATAATTTTTACAAAAGAATAATTTGTGGGATTCTTTCCAGATCCAGAAATAAATATAAGGAATAATTTACCATTGCTCAATTTGCCATAACCAGCTGAGGGAGCTTGCCTTGGCAGATGGTGTTTCTGATCAACAATTCCCATTATTCCTTCAAATTTAAAAATTAAATTGCCAAAATTAAAATGTTCTGATGCCTATATTAATATTGATTTCTCCTTCCTCGTGTCTTGTCAGTTTTAATCTCAATATTATTTCCTTTTCTTTTTCCCTAAAAAGAAATCACCATTGGCAAAAACATTCAAGTTTAAAGCAGCTATGTCCTGAAAATAGCCAAAACCAAACCATGTGGTCACTACACCTGCCAAGGTGGTCAGATGGAAGGATTTTGTCAGCCCAGTGTCACAGCATCCATCCCACTCCCTGCCCAGCATTTCTGGGTGGAATAGCAGCACTCGCACCTGAACTGTCACTCAGCTGTCCCATGGTGTCACCCAGGCTGTGTTCCTGTTAAAGGAGAAGGAAAAGGTCTTTAACAGCTTTTTATTGTATCTATCACCCCAACAACACTCAAGTAACACCTGGTTTATGACCAGACAACTGAACTGAACCCTCAGGATCTTTTAAGATAAAGAACTATAAAATTTCCAGTCAAGACACAAAGGAAAAACAGAAATACTCATTTCTACCCCTCTGGTTCTACTCAAACAGTAAATTAGACCCAGCCCATTTTGAGCAGAAACACGCCAGCTTCGAAAAGTTTATTTTTACAGATCCACAGCTTCTCTCAGCTTTGGGGAAATTCAAACATCTGCTTATCCTGGCCGAGGCACTCAGCATCCTGCTGCCAAGCAAGTGCTCCAGTCAGTGCCCCGTGGTTTCTCCCTCTCCATCCTTCTGGCTGCAGACACGCAGAGCTCCAGGTTCCCTCTCCTGCCTCTGTGCAAGCACCGGGCTCGATGCATTCTGCTGCTATTATTAGGCTGCCCTGGCTCCCCCTGAAAATCCTCCCACAGCTCCCAGCAGGATGCCAGGAGCTGGCAAGCTCAGAGAGCCTGAAGGCTGTGCATCTGTTTCGAGACTGACAGGTAGCACAGCGAGTTAAAAAGCCCATAAATTTGCAGCAGGAGGCTCAGCCTAGACAAAAAAAAAAAAAAAAAAAAAAAAAAAAAAAAAAAAAAA